ATCCCAATCCATACACACATCAATTGTGTAAAGCGCATTTGTACATCGTTTCTCAAAACATTTTCTCTCCATTTAAACCCCCGACATTAGGTCCCTTCTTTTTTTTTTTACTGTAATCAGTGTGGTAATATTTTCTCCATTTTTAAGGTTTTAGTGCATTTTTGGCTTTGTGTTTAAAGTGTCTCTCTTTTAGGCAAAATATTGATGAATCTTGATTTTTTTTGTCCAGTCTTCTACTCTCTGTCTCTTAATTGATGCATTTAATCCTTTGATAATCAGTGTTATTAAATCCTATAAATTTAATAGGTAGAATATGCTTCCAGATCAAATATACTATAGTTCTTATACATTATAAAACTATGATAGTCATGATGACTGCCATTTCTCCACTTTGACCTGATGTTTGTTGAAGAAACATGATGTCTGAGGTTCCCAAAGGGGGGAAAAAAGACTGCATATGTGGTATGTAGTTGATTGAAGCATAAGAGTACTGACACTGTGTAAAACTAAAGAAATCATTAAAGAAATTGTGAGGCTCCTAGAATCTCTGTGGTCAAAAGATCTCAAAAACAAAAATTAGTTAAAGTAGATTACATGCATCCAGATTAGTTCTTTATCTACTATCATAAGATATTCTTTTTGTACAAATATTAAAATACTGGGCTGTGCTATACATGGAAAAACTTGACAACATGGCACATATCAAAGGGCAATTGCTAAGTGAAAGTTGCCCCCCAGGTCTATAACCAAAACTTTGCTTCCTTACCCTAACGAAATAACAAGCATCAATTAAATTAGTCAGCACATCTTCATATCTTATACTGGGCCTTTAAATCTTATGTTATTACCCCAAGTAAATTTATATTGCTAAAACCATTTAACATTTTAAATTTGTTGATTAACTATGATTCATTGTTACTTCCTCCTCTTACTACTTTCCACTTGTGTAGCACTAATAAATTAGCAATTGTATAACTAATAAAGGAAAATCTTGTGTTTATGTCTATGTTATTCTCAAGAGGTTTGCCTAAAATGAAAAATTCAATACTTTAATAACAGATTCTGACTGCATTCTGTTTATTGATGGGTTATTTGTAAACTTGACTCAGCTGGGGTTCTCAATGCTTTGCCAGTTACGTAATTTTCCATCACGTGATCTAACACAATGTAATCATAGCTTTAATAGGATCTGCTATCCGCAGTCAAAAACTTGCGAGAAAATTAAGATGGGATATAAGACCTTTACTCAGATGGCAGCCATGATCCAATCAACTGAAAAGAAAGACGTTTCCTCTTGGGTGAGGCCTGTGTTTAGCACAAGGGAACATTTGAAAAGCTTGCTTGCTTTTTGCTAGGTCTGGATCTTACATGGGCCTCATAAACCTCTGGATTTTTGGACTTGGATTCCTTCACCTTTGCAAACACAAGCCTGACTGTCTGTGGTAGTTATATAACCTGGTGTCAACTTGAGGATATTAAGAGTGAAGAGGTGGAGTCTAGCCTGTCAATCAGGTCACAGCCTGCTGATGCCTCCTGGTGGGCATGGCCTTCTCATGAGGATTCTGGGAACTTCCTCTCTTTCTCCCTGGAGGTAGGCCACACTCTCTCTCTCTGCTTCACCACCTGTCAGGTGGAGCCACACTGATGGCAGCCAAAGCCCTGGAGATGCATCCACTGCAAATGGATCTACAAGACTTGGCACCCACCAGCCTATGATCTTCCTACATTCTCCATCATTGCCTGTGGATTCGTGATTCTGAAGAGGGCCTCATAGGTTAATATTGGACTTAGGGACAAGATCTGGGCTTGGATGGGGAGTTTTCTTAGTATACATATGCTCTTTGATATAAAGCTCTTTCTGTATGAGCTCCTAATAAAATGATTAGGAAAAAAGAAAAACCAAAAAAACAAAAACCCCAAAAAAGATCATGGAATCTAAAGCTCTTTCTTATACATATGTGAATGTCACTGGATTTGTTTCTCTAGTCAACCCAGCCTAACACACCTTCTGACCTGAAGTTCTTTCACCTCCGTAGCCATCAACCTGCTGTCTTCCTGCTGATCTTGAGTACATCAATCCCTTCAACAACACAAGTCAGGGAAAGCCTCCAGTCTAACATCTGACCCACAGGCTAGAAGCTGCTGTACTGGAGCTTGCCCACATCAACAACTGTGTGAGTCATTTTATTGTTATAAATTTATCTTTCCTATATGCATATATATGCTTCATTGGTTTTACTTCTCTGGAGAACCCATCCTGCTGCAATATAGGTCAGAAGTCCACCACTGAACTACCAAAGCTCATATTCTAAGGCGGAAACACAAAATCTAATCATTTTAAGTTGTGACTATGATTCTTTAACTAGGAGATTCTTTAACTCATTCAAAAAGTAAATATAGCATTGTGAGTACGTATGTAAAGGTGACTATAATCCTGTTCGGGGATGCTCAAAGGGTTTTTATGGCATGCTTCTGAGCCATCTTCATATTTCTGTTATATTTGTTTGTGTTTAACCAGGAAATTTTAGTAACAGATGAGGCTTGTACTTACCACACCAGTACTTAATACACTGACCAATTTATCACTGCTGAAATGAGTTGCTTCATAACAGATTTATTCTGTCAGCATACCAGCTATTCGTTTTTATGTATTCCCATTTATTTTGACAAGTGGATTTACCCCAGAAAAGGTCACAGTTTAGGTATTGGAACACTTTGACTTCTGATATAAAATTGGATATTAAGAGATATATTAGCCTAGTTATTATATGTTAAATATTGTATTGTCATTTTATTTGTAATTTAATATTGCATTAGGTTCAACTCTTGGCCAATGCACCTCAATGTGTAGCCACTACCTGTCTGTGACTGGAGGCTTATGTGCTACTAAATGCTGAATAGATTTCAGCAGAACTTTCAGTTAAGATGAACTAGGAAGGAAAGCATGGAGATTTAATTTAGAAAATCAGAGGATGTATTACAATGATCCAATCAGCAATTGATTGTGGGAACAGCACATGACCAGGAAGCACTTCATTCCATTGTACATCATATAGCCATGAGTCAAGTTCCAAATAGATGGCAGTAAACAACAAGCTATTCCAACTTATCTCTCAAGCGATATGGAAGCTCATTTAATTAGAATATTTTATCCACGAGTTTAAACCATAGAAAGAGTCCCACCCCACCCCCTCACCTTTTTTTAAGTGCACAACTATGTTTATTTTTTAAATTGTTTTATTAGGGGTTCATATAACTCTTATCACAATCCATACATACATCAATTGTGTGAAGCACATTTGTACATTCATTGCCCTCATCATTCTCAAAACATTTGCTCTCCACCTAAGTCCCTGGCATC